ACGGAACCCGGAGGAGGCCAACCCTGTGTGATCTAATGGGTCTTTGGGAGGTAATTGGCAGCAGGCGGTCTCTCAAGTACCCGGGTCCAATACCATGAAGGGCTTTATAAGTGACGACTTTAATCGCATTTAATTCCAAATCTGGTCAAAATTTAAATAGTCAATTGATCCAAGAGAATATGCAAAATATGAATATGTCTATCATTGGCTTTGTCTCAGACAAATATTCTTATATAAAAATATTCACTTACAATAAAACTGGAACATGTCTAATGCAGTTAAGAATGCAAGTCTATTCAGGACCAATGAGATAGTATCTTCTGAGTAGATCAATACTCCTCAGGTAATTTTTTTCTTGTAAATCCTGCAGTTTTGAATATGCATTAAGTCTTTTGATTATCTGCATGAGGATACTCTTGTTCCTGCAGGTTTTGAGTTTAAATCAAAATTGGTCTGTACAGCCTGCTTTCATGAGGCCCAATTTTTTTCCTGACAAAGTTTACCCTTATTCAAAATATTGTTGGTTTCTAAGATCTCTCTGTTCTTTCTTTTGACATGGGATTTTCCTAAAATGCTATAATTTGTATGAACCCACAACCAAGATAAGGCAAATGGGAACCAGTTTTTGAATGAAGGGTTCATAAAATGTCATTAAAGATACTGTCAGGATTGCATTTATCTTGATTATATATTTAGCATGATTGGGGTCAGCCATTAAACAGTTAATGGAATGCCTGATTGTCAAATTAGTTTCTAATCTATTCTTATTTACTATTTTGCACTTTAGTCATTGGAAAATTTCTCTTACAACCTAATTAGCTATCATAAACTTTGAGTGGCATTTAATATCTAATTAATTTTGTTTTTTTAAAAAAGTTCTGACATTTATATGAAGGAAGGAAATATGAACTGCCATAGCATGTCAGTGATATTTCTTGGCTACATAAAGTCCACAGCACAAAGTAAAATACTAAAATATAAGCTAATTAATACTGATTAATTTACATGCAGATTGTGATGGTATATTTAATTTAATGTTTTGGCTGTATTCCAGTACTGCTTTAAGTAGCTCAGTCTCTACTGAGTGACTTAAAAGTAGAATAAATGTTTAATTGATAAAAAAATTGAATAATTAGAGCAAATAAAAAGTGGCATAAGAAATAACTTTCCTAATTTTAAGGAACATAAAAAGTTTATCAGTGTTTTTATGCAGTCCAATTCCTATACAGAATATTTCATCTGATAGTTTTAAATACGTTTCTCCAGCAGCATTTGAAACTACAAAGATACTGTTACAAATATAGAGCTTTGGAATTGACCTGAACAGAAATATAGATTTTTTTTCAGGAAGGATTAAAGATCAGGCAAGATATTTTTAAGTACAGTTTGCTGCAGTATTCAGAGAACTATGAAACAAATAGGCCGTATCAGTCCAGGAACAGCTCACAAGGGACTCACATATAATATAAATTACATTTCCCAATTACTGCATAAGAAGCTAAAGTCTACTTAATAAAGCTCAGATGACTAGAGACATCTCCATGCAACTTTCTTGGCAAAATTATGCGAATGAGTTCATCACTATCATCTTCTGGAATGGTTTTAAATTTTCTTGTTACCCATGGTGTTTTTTAGTGGTCTCTTATCGGTGACTCAATTAGATTTGACTATTCTTAGCTTCATAGCCCAGAAAATCATCTCATGGAGACAAGTTAGTATACTGTATGCTTCTAAGAGTTCAGATGCCATGAAGAGGCTCATTGGCTACACACAAAACCACAAGAGAGGACATATTGTCGGTTCATATCCCTTCAACATCAAATGAACTTTTTATTTTCCACAATGATGCTTCATTAAGTATTTGGCATATTCTTGCAGTCCTAGTGGACTTGTCTGTTCTTGTGAAGTTAATCTATTTCTGGCTCTGTGTTAATGTATTAGAAACTAAGGCAAAGCTGGTTCTTTTGTAATTCCACAACACTTGTAGGAGGTCTGTTTTTCCACTGATGGGAATTCTTACTTTGTATCAATTTCTAGACTTAAAGAACTAGTATTATCTATTTCCAACAATAGGTTTTAGTGTCTTATAATCTGGTGCTTATCTACAGTCATTGTTTAGAATGCAGCTTCTCCTCTTCCATTTCCGTTAACAGATTGCAGCTCCTGGAAAAACATCTGGTTGCAAAAGAGCTGGCATGATATAATTTAATTTTTGCTACTTCTGAGGCACTCTTTAGTGCCAGAAGAATTGCTTTGCAGCCAATTAATCTTCTCTTAAAGACACCACTCACAGTTTTGGTGAGGTAAATGAGTATATTTAAGGAATATATTTATTGAAAAGGTGGAAGGGATGTATGTTAGAATTGTGTGTGTGTGTGCACACATTAATGTTGTTACAGAACAGGAACACCTTGGAACAGGCTACTGACTGACTGTTCTTTGCACTTTCCCACTGATCAACAGGAGAGAGCACTGTCTGGTTCATGGTATTGTTAGCATTTTGAGACTGGCAGCAAATATGATTGGTTAGCTCCAATCATTATATACAGCAATGTTGACTGATATAATCAAAGCATGTCACTTTTTAAAGAAAGAAAACCACATTTTGCTTCAAAAAACAAAAAAAAACCCGCACCATTTTGCAACTGGATGAACCTGTGCCTATTTATTTTAAACAATCATAAATTTGGCTGCAAAGGCTGATGGGGTTAGAAGAGATGCTTTAATTAAAGAAAAGAATACAACTAACTTTGTTTTTAATTGGAAACCACTTCTGTATTTTGTGCTCGAGGCAGAAAACAATGAAACTTTGATTTGGGTTTTGATGATTAGATCAGTTTGTTGTTATAGAAATGGCTAATATATATTACTATGTGAAAATAAAAAGTTGAAGTTTTATGTTATTATCTTATTCTAAATTATTCAGTGCTAAAAAGAGTTGGAAGTCAATGCTTTTCTTTTTCTTTTCCCTTTTATCCTAGAAGTCTTCCTCTTCTCTTTTTCCTCCCCAACTTTCTCATTATTTTCATTTTTCTTTGAATTTTTTTATTTCAATAAGCTAATAAAATTTGTAATAAATAATCATACAGTGCAAAACAGCAAAGAAAACAAATCCTTTCTATACCTGCATCTGCATTGGTCCTGCTGAGAGGCATGCATGGATGCAATAGTAAATGGAACGATTTTTTTACCTTAATTTTGTTTTATTTATTTACATTAAATTTATATACATTTATAAGCTGTCAATCTCACTGATTAAGTGATCCTGGGATATTTAAAAATAAAAGAAGAACAATTACTTTTGCCTTAAACACAAGACACTGAGAGCATCAGCTTTTTTTAATGTAACACATACTTAAACATGTAATAAGAATTTTATATGTTACTTACTCTAAAACATCCCTGTTAAATTGCTTTTGTCGATTTCCCAGGAACTCTCCGATCATTTGTCTGCTGAGACCTTTTCTCTGTAAAAGGAAATGGGCAACTCCAACAGGTGTATCTGGCACAAAACCTCTGTCGATCAGATACTGGATTCCTTTTTCTGGTTTTCTAAAGAGAAAAACACAACACAATTACAAGATTCCCTGTTTTGCTTTTTCCCCAGGCTCTGGGTTGTCCTAAAAGTCTTATAATCTAAATATTTTTGTTTACACCTGTCCTTTGAAAGAAACATTTTTTTTTTGTTTGAGCTAAGCTGAAGAAATGCAGATATTGAGTGGAGGAACTTTTGGAAAATAGACAACTAAAGTCAAATGAATATTTTAGCCAAAATAATACTTCCATTGGGATTTCTATTTGTCTAAAGGGAGCATAGAAGGCTTTAAAGGGTATCTGTGTTACCAGTTATTTAGTATTATACATTAAATGCATGCTTCACCTTGAAATTATTATAATAACTTCAGCAAACATTATATCATAAAAGCAAGTTGTGATCTCATGTAAATTTGTAAAGTTCTGAAATATTCATATTCCCTAAATCAGTGTTTTTCAACCTTTTTTGTGCAAAGGCACACTTCTTTTCATGAAAAAAATCACGAGGCACACCACCATTAGAAAATGTTAAAAAAAATTAACTCTGTGCCTATATTGACTATATATAAGGTGTTTTTCCCACGGCACACCTTACACTATGTCACGGCACACTAGTGTGCCGCGGCACAGTGGTTGAAAAACACTGCCCTAAATTATATAAAAAACTATTAATTCTAAATTGTTCACCATATTTTTCAGAGTATAAGACTGTCTGGAATATACGACACACCTTAGTTTGGGGGAGGAAAATAAGAAGAAAAAAAATTCTGCCTCTGCCTACCAGCATCCATGGTATTCAGCTGACACATGGCAACAAGGTCAGCCAATGAATAGGCATAGCAACTAAATCAGCCAATGAGGGCTATTTGGTCTCTGAAATTTGCTGTGTGAGACAGGAAGGAGCCTGGCTTAGATGAGAACTGAAAGTGAAACTGCTTGTATTTTGCTTGTATTAACTGCTACCTTGGAAAACCTGCTTTTGAAAATGTGTTGTATATTATTATAATTTTGAGTCCTGCTGAATCAGTTACTGTGCTTTCTGAATGTGATTGCTGCTGCAGAATCTGACCAGCCAGGTCAGCTTCAGCACTTATTGCAGTCTGATTCAGCACAGCTCAATCAGCTGTTCCAGGCTGCAGGGATTGCCATAGACCATCGCTGCCTCCATGCCTCGTGTTTGTGGCCTCTGGTGGGAGTGTGTGGGGCTACGTTTGGTGTATAAAATGCACCCAAATTTTCAGGGGCAAAAAGGTGCGTCTTATACTACAAAAAATACGGTACATCTCATCTGTACATAAATATTTAATTAACATGAATAATTAAATAAAAAATGCTATGTATATAATCAACAATTACAAGTAAGAACAAGACTACAAAATAGTCTTGCTACAAAATAAACACTTTTCTTTTAATTATTTTTCTATATATATTTCTTTAATTAAAAAATACAAAGTTAAAATATAAAGAAACAAAAATTGAAAAAAGAAAAAGCTCAGAAAAGTAAAAGGGTGAAAGTGCAAGAAAGAAAGAAAGAAAAGAACGACTTTTGAGATTTTTAGTACAGATATAAGTTAAAAAATAGATGCAACTCTTATTCAAACACTAATATTCATCTACATTGTTTCCCTAAACCCACAGAATTCTAATCTTCATTCCTTTCAGTTTCTGGCAAAAATTTCAAAACTTGTTTTCAAGTAGAAATAACAATTGTCAAAGTCTTCTTTTTCATCAAGCTTTCAATTTCACCATCTCCTCCAATTCTACCAGCTTCATCATTCATTTATCCATTGTAGGTAATTGAAAATCCTTCCATCTTTGAACATGTCTTTTTGTTGTTATAATATATAAAAACAAAATCCTGTAAGATGTTTCCATTTGTATGTCCATTCCAAAAGAAAAGCCCCTGACTTCAATTGTACATTAACTTTTTAAAATCTTCTGCATCAAAGTACTTACTTGGTCCTAATATTTTCTAGCTTTGGGTCATGTGCACCAAAGATGAAAATAATCATCTCAGTTCTCTCAGGCCTGAGTACATTTCCAATAAATACTGATATTTGAAATTCCCTGACATATTTTTGACATTTTATTCGGTATTATGTACCAACAATATATCATTTTATAAAAAATATCTTTACAATTATAATTCAATATAAATTGCAATCCTTTCTTTATGTACTATATTCCATTGGAGCAACTCTGTATTATATCTGAAATATTTTTTGCCCATTTTATATACAATCTTTAACTTGCTTGTCTTCTATTTCAATGTTTAACAAAGGTTTATACATCCTAGCAATAAATAATATGATCACCATTTATACAGATCTGTAGATCAAACTCAACTGTAGCACTATTTTCTCTTTTAACACCATTGTGTATAAAGAGATACCCTTTATGGTAGAGACAGTGAACCGGAAAAATTATCCAAAGGGAGACTCATACTCAGCTGATTTGAACTCAGAATTCTTCTATCAGTACTACCCTATTATGTTTTGCAATATTATTTTTGGAATAAGATGACTTTTACTAGTATACCAAAATCCATTATCAGGATGAATGGAAAATATAAAGAACTGAGGAACAGTGCACATGCTAAGCCCAAGTATTTATTTTCTATTCAAGTGTTCATTTTAGCACCCACACGGATAAGATTTTTCCACCATTAGATTTCCAATATCTAAATAATTGTAAATAAAAATTGGGTTATGCATAACCTATATGCCAGTTGGTTTTGATTCAGTTCTAGAAATTTAGCATCACATCTATTTTATTTGTTTCGCACTTGCTAAAATTTAAGGTCTAGTTCTGCATATGGAAACATCCCATTCAGAAAACAGAAAACAAAAGGTTCTGGCAGGGATTTGTACACACCCTTTAAGAAAAGACTGCCTTTGGTTTTGATTAGTCTGATTATTAGTCACTATAAGAGACTGCAGAAGAATATTATTCCATTATATGCCATGAATTATGTTTATTATTATCACACAGTATATATGTACAATGTAAATTCAAAAAATGGAAACATGTTTCAGACATTGCATTATGCAGCAATACAAAAAAAAATCACTTCTGGATCTAATCAGAAGTGAATGTATCTTAGGAACTGAAACAAAGGAATTAAAATTGCAGCTTAGTGCTCATTTTTCCTTTAAAATTGGATACTTTAAATAAAATGGAAAGAATGTTCAATCTTCATGTTCAATATTACCATAAATCATCTAATCATAAATGACTTGCTGCATGAATGTCTTTACTTTTATGAAGAAAGATACTTAATGGTTTGTCAATTGGGCAAAAGAGGATTTTAGCTGGAGAACTGCAGCTTATGAAAGCTGGTTTTTTTAAAAAATAAAATGTATTACTTGAAATATGGCCACCAGACTCCTTCAAAGTTTTGGCTATTATAAACTAATATGGGTCTCTTCCTATAATATCTTATTAGTGATATGTTATTACTATGATCAGTATTATTGATAAACAAATTAGTTATATCATTTTAAAATATATATTTTATAATATCTTTTTCAACATGTAAATGTAAGACAATTGATTTATAAGATCCAAGGTTTTAAAATTTGGGGTAGTGTATACGATTAGCTAAATATTGTTGTTAGTTGCAAAGTCATGTCCGACCCATCACGATGTATGTAAATAACATTGTATATTATGCTATATGATGGAGGTAGCATGGTTCAATTTCAAATGAAATAAAAAAGAACATAATTTGCATCAACATTTATGAGACAAAAACACCTTTGATTTATGAAATGAAGATATGTAGATTGCGACAGATTATCATTCATATGATCTGTTATCCATTCTATTTTAAAGAGACACAGACAGAGCATAATCTGCTAACCTCATCATAACTGAACAACACAGAAGCCGAAGAATATAATGCTGTTCCCCACTAAAACTAAAAGCTTTAAGTGAAAGAATTAAGACATTTTATTTACTGGTGGGAGTACCAGAAAAAGGCCACAGCAAAACACATCCATTTTGTGCAGAGTCAACATATTACCAGGAATTGAGCATGACAAGGAGTTGTTACTTTTATCTACTGCTGCAAATAATATTGATTATGTGCTAGTAAGATCTTGTAGAGTCTTCGGGATCACATTGACAGTGTGATCATTCCTCCATTATGATCTGTCCCTAAGTGGGTCCTTCAGTCTTCGAAAGGCACATCTACTGTAACTGAGTCTCTTCACCACTGTTGGTCATCCTCTTCTTCTCTTTCCTTCAAACTTTCCCAGCATTAGAACCTTCTTCAGGGAGCTAGACCCTTGTATAATGTAGGATAATTTGAGCCTAGACATTTCTGCCTCCTATGAGAATTTTTGTTAAATCATTTATGATCCATTGGTTTGTTTTCTTGTCTAAATATGGTATTCTATGGCTCCTTCTCCAACACCAAAGATCAGAAGTGTCAAAAAAATTTCTATCTTGCTTCTTCAAAGTCCAACTTTCACTTCCATAACAATGTCATACTCAATGTCACAGAGAATACCATGGCTTACACAATTATGTTATTTGTAGAGATACATCATGCATTTCAATATCTTTTTCAAGGCTTTCATGGCTGATCTACCAAGTACTAACTAGTCTGTAGTGTATGTCTTGATTGGTTGTTCTTTACTGTCGATGGTTGATCCTAAAAGACAGAAATTTTCCACCAATATCTTCTACAATATCTTCATTTTCATTTATCCGGCTGATTATTCTTGTCATTAGTTTGTTCATCTGTATATTTAATTTTAGACCCATTTTTCACTGTATGTCTTGATTTTTATTACTAGGGCTTGTAGAATCTTTGCATTTTCAGCTATCAAGGCAATGTCAACATCTTAGTGAGTATAGAGTTTTATCTTACTCCTTTGCCAAAATGGAGTCAGTCTTTTTCACCATGTACTGTGTACTGTGGCTGTCTGACCTCTATACAAGTTTCTGATGAGAATAATGAGATGTTCTCTGATTCCCATTTTTCTGAGCACTGAGTTGCAAATAATAAGGGT